ACGACGCTTTGTGATAGGTCTAGAAAACTCGCTGCGCACTCTCAGCCAAGTATGACAGATCGCAATTTGGTTACACAAGATTTCGAGTTGAACAGTTTACACATCGTAGCTAGCAGTTTGCAGAGCAACCGTAAACCTAAGGTACGCATCCTACGTCCTCTCAACGAGTCATAAGTTTATCATCAAATTAACATGTGTAGCATAGTATCAGTGAGAAAGCAAGAATCTGCAAGAAAAACACGCGGGAAAGAGCACTGAGACACCCGCGCGTGACTTCTCCATCCAACTCAACTCCTCGCGTCTGGTTTAATGGAGCGCCTGCAACGAATGCAATATGCCACAAACTTTTTAGCGTTTCCCTTTAAAGGCAATCAAGAATCGAGTTTATTGTCTAAATCAGTATCGTCATTTGCTAGGGTTTATTTCGAAAGTGTAAGCATTATAGTCCGTACAACCTCTCAAAAGGGGCAAGAGCACTCAGAAATTGCGTATCGAGTTGGATTGTAGGGAATCTGATAGGCCAATTGTGTAGAAAAGATTTGTCAATTTTTAAAAGGATTTATAAATACTTACTAAAAAAGAGAAGGAAACACCGTGGAACCACTTCATATCGAACAAACACCAAGTAAAATGGAATTGCAGTTAAAACGAACAGCACGCAATAAAATGATTGTAGTGGGGTCTCATAAAAGGGCGCAATTACCAGGTACAATGAAACCACAACCATGAATATGGGAATTCCAAACCATACCTGCAAGGAAATGAGGAGAAAGCTATATATTTGATTATACAACCAAGTTAAACGCCAGCGACAAACGTTTAGCTGGTGATAATCGAACAGCCAATCAGCGGGAAGGAAAATTAAATGAAGAGCCAATAAGAACGCATAGTGGAAAAAAAAAGAATATTTCATGAAGCGCGGGAAAAAACTAGGGAACAAGCCGCGGTTGATTTTTGTCTTAAACCTGATTGGTCAAGAGGATGGCGCGAGTTTCCCCAGAGACCAATCACGTGGTAAAGTTAAGCAAATCAAAGTAATGTCGGATTACTTCCAGTAATCAATTGAAAACTTCACTGTCACATAGCTGTTAAATGTTATGTTCAACCACAGAATACGAATGAAGGCGAAAATGGAGGCAACGCTTGGTCACCATACTAAGAATCCAGTCCTTGACAGCTGGTATGACCTTATCAATTTACTTTATTACGCTTTGTGATTGGCTTAGAAACCTCGTTCTTCCCTCAGATTCAAAACTAAAACCAGACGCGACTTGGTGACCCCCGTTTTCCTGCGCGTTGACCAGGTTGATTGTTCTTACTCTGAGTTCATAAGTTCCTTGTGATAATTATCTTTGATGAAATTGATCTTATTTATTATTTTCCGACATATACACTCAATTAAAATATGCCCTAAGTAGGCCTCACCAGCATGACATGGGTTACTTTTTTCTTATCTTGATAACAGTTTTGTAAATTTAAAAAAAAATTGAATACAACATTTTGGAAGTGGCTTTCTTTGCGATTCACAATTTAGAGGTTTCAAAAGACGCTCCCCTAAAACAAGCACCTCAAAGAATTGTCGACTCATTAAGATGAAGAGGATGCTTTCGCATATTCATTCAGAATAACGTAAATGAGACTAAAAGTCTTTTCAAATAAATCAAATGAACGTTGTAATGTCCACCTTGAATGGTCGCCTGACCTCAGGTTCTTTGTACCTCAGCCAAATGATACTTGAGATAGAAAGTAAATAGCCGAACCAGGTGAAGAATCCCATATAGCTTAGAAGCACCTCAAAAGACGAAGAGTCAGGAATAATCATCACAAACGAAATGATACTCTAAAAAGAGAAACAAAACAAAAAAAGACAATAAAACGAAGGGAAAAACTTCGACAAGTTTCGACACCGCGTAGTCAACTTGTCAGTTCTTTTTGGAATGTCACTCGCCCTTAGAAAAACTTGGGGCATCTTGAAGGAAAGCTTGGAGGGGAAAAGACACTAGCCGACTTTGAATGCAATATTACTTCGTTTAAAATCGGAATTGAAATAAAAAATCCAAAATCGGCCATTAGTGTCTAAAATCCAAAATTGGCCACTAGGGTCCAAAATATTTTATCGGCCACTAGCGTCCAAAATACAAAATTGGCCACTAGGGTCCAAAATACTAAATCGGCCATTAGTGTCCAAAATACAAAATCGGTCACTAGTGTCCAAAATACAAAATCGACCACAAGGGTCCAAAATTCAAAAACAGCCATAAGGGTCCAAAATACAAAAGCTTCAAATAGGATCTAAAATACAAAATTGGCCACTAGGATCTAAGATACAAAATCAAGCATTAGTGTCCAAAATCAAAAATCGGCCTCTAGTGTCCAAAATCCAAAATTGGCCATTGGGGTTTAAAATACAAAATCGGCCACAAGGGTCCAAATCCAAAATCAGCCATTAGTGCACAAAATCCAAAATTGACCACAAGTGTCCAAAATACATAACCGGCCGCTAAGGTCTTATTAAATACAAAATCGGCCACTAGTGTCCCAAACCCAAAAAAGGCCGCTAGGGTCCAAATCCAAAATCGGCCACTGGTGTTCAAAATGTAAAATCAGCCGCTAAGGTCCAAAATAACTTAGTGTTTTGTGTACGCTTTTAAGCGTTTTGCTGCAGAGAAGCAATAATGAGCAGCGAGGCCGCCAGAGGCTTGGGAAGTCATTGAAAAACGCCAGCCACGTGTCGTTGGCCGAGTGTAAAATGTCGCACAGGGAGATTTTTAACTTTTCGTTGCGGTACCATTTTCGCCAAAGTTTATTGAAGTTGTTTCTTGTGTTAAGCAGTACTGTTGCACAACCTCAGGTTGGATAGCCTGTGAGAAAGTTCTCGTTCGCGTCGCTTTAAGAGCATCTCGTGGGCTTCTCACGAGATCATTGTAATTAGGCTATTCAACTTTTGCATGAAAGTCTCGCAGTAAAGCCTAGACGAGGTGGTCTCCGTCTAGTTTCTTACTTACCGTCGAGATATGTCGAAGGAAGGCTATTAAGCGTAACTTGAAGTGCGATTTAACATAATGCATATTATATCTCAGAGAGCAAGGCTATCATAATTAATTCCAGATTTGATCAGTTTGAAATTAATTCAAACCTGATGCGCATTAATTGGCGTCATTTCAGGAATATGTACGCCATGAGCAGCACTCTTTTTCAGCAGGTCAGTCCATCGTGGGCTTCCAAAGAAATCAGAGAAAAAGATAACTTGGCAAAATGCGAATAGTAGAGGTGCTAAGCCCGGACGCTTCACACCGAGTGCTCATGTTCTTATGTTTTTCCCGGTGACGATCGCAATTCCAAGAAAATAATAACTTACAGAGAATATGAGCCCCGGGAGAGGGGTTCTTCGCTTGGTATGAATCATGGCGAGAAAGCGAGGAAGATGACCTTCTCTTGCGGCAGCGAAAGCTAATCTGAAATTCAATATCATTCTGAAATCAATCGAAAGAGTTTGCAATCGGATGAAATCTTACAACCGTCGAAGTCGGCTGTAAGAGAGTGAGGGGGGAGGGGTAAAAGTAACGGCGTAAAGCAAGGGGTGGGGGTGAAAGGATAAGGGGCGAAGGGGAGAGGGGTATGAGGCCTGCTTGTTCGAATAATGTAAGATTTGATAGGGGTGGGGGTGGGGTGGGGTGGGTGAGGAACATCTAATCAGTGTATTCAATGAGTATATCTCAGCCGGTAGCAAACACGAGTGATACATGATGTAAGAATCTCCTCACCCCTCACAGACCCTTGTTTTAAACTCTGTTTCACAAAAAATTCAAGGCATCAAAGAGGCGCTCCTCTAATATTAACGAGAAAACTCCAATGAACAAGCATGAAATAATATCAACCTTTCCATACCTTCCTCCAGAAAAGGCACTGCCATTGGCGGAACCAAACGTGGAGCAAGAGACGAGTATTGGAATACTCCAAGCCATGACTCCATATAACCGGTTTGCTAGGGTCTGTCGAAATGGAAACAAGAAAAATACTCTATACTTAATCTTAATTGCAATTTTTAAAAGTGACCTTATCTTCTTATTCGTGCCAAACCTGAGTTGTGTTAAGTGAGTTTCGCTTGGTGATGACCGATCTGACGACTGTGGTGGGGTAGACAAATGTCAAAATGTTGTTTTTTTAAAAGCTAGTCTTTGTAGGTCACGAAACAACGAGTTATTATCTCCGTGGTGAAGTCATAATGACAAGATTTTTGCCTCCGCGTTGATTATCCTTGAACACCGATATATCATAATTCTCGAAAAACATCCTTCATCTATGGTCCACAGACCTTGCATTGAGAGTCTTAAGAGAGTCTTAAGAGACCTTAAAGAAAGCGCCTGTTTTGGAGAACGCTATTTGATAAATGAGCGTTGGCTATTGGATTAGAAATAGGAATTCCCCTGAATAAAAGCTTTTTAAGGACCACACGAGTTGTGAAGGCGATCATCCAGACGATTACACGCGAGGAGAGAGTTACCTCTGTAATTTTCCGAGTATTTCTCCTCGTTCGCGCACACCACTACGCACTGACTCCCATTTATCTGAGGGACTGTAAGGTAGACTAAAGGGATTTCTATTGAATCGAATAGTATAGGCTGAATGATTGGCCAATGGCGACGATTCTCTGAGATGACGTGAGAGAGTTGAGCGTTTCCTATGTTCACATTGCGCAGAGTTTAAAGAGTGTGTGATGTTTTAACGGAACTAATCAAGCAAGGTACGGTCGCATTTGTTGTTACTGCATTTTGATCAGAAATTACCTTAAACTCTGGCAAGATGGTCCTAGAATCAATTTGTTAAATGTTGTCTAATGAACATGGTCTTAGTTTTACCGCTGGACCGTAAATCAAAGAGTTATTAGACGAGTTACTTACGACAGCAACCGCATCAGTAGTCAGAAATTCCTGTGGTGTAAGCACCGTAAGGTATCCAATAATCACCAACAGATAGCACACTATCACAAGAGGGATACCAATGAAAATGCTCAGCGGAAGGTTCCTATAAAAATACATGCAACAGAATATTCAAAACTATTATAATATTATCAACTGCCTGTCGTTTTCGTGTTTCTCACCTTTCGGGATTTTTTATTTCCTCTATGACATAATTCAGTTGGTTCCTAGGGAAGAGAATGTTGAGGTTGAGGTTTAGCCTACAAGAATCAAACGACACTCAGTATCGATTTCCCGTCATCGACTCACCATCCATTGTATGAAAATAGTCCATTGTAAAAGGCAAACGCAAATTTCCCTATCTCTGGACTAGTTCCGTTAAATGCGTTTTCAAAGGCATTTGTATAGCCTGCAAAGAAATGGAGCAAAATAATAATTGCGGAGTGAAGAAAACGCAATAAAAGGTTTGAATGTTTTCCTGAAAAGTTGGTGTTTTCCCTGTGTGCAGTGCCTGTATTAAAGGTAAACCATGTAATTCTGAGCCAGTTGAAACGCAATTTTGAAATTCCAATAAGAGGTCGGAGGTCGGAGGTCGGAGGATTTTGGTTGCGTCACGATAAAATTTGCTAGATCCCCCCTGTAAATGCGTGACTTTAAATTTGCGTGACATTTGTGTTACAGTTGGCCTTTGTGCCATTTGATTCCTTCAGATAGTCTTTCTCTCCCGCTGATTTTTAGTTGTTGCATCGTACGCCCTTTCACTATTCACTGTTCATGTCCGGCGTTCATCCCAAGTTAATTTCTTAAGTTTGGTTTCAAGCCACTGGCGTATAGGGACTGATATGTAAGTTGTACTCGCTTTTTTTCACTTTTGTAGCGTTTCTCTTGCTATGATCTTATGTCTTTGTGCGTGTTATTTAGTCACCGCCTTCGTATCGTCAGAAGGTTATTTCTAGTTATAATTTTCCTTTATCTCGCTTCGAGCAAGCTCTTTCGTCTTTATTTTGTATATATATTTTGTGTTTGCCGTGGCACTTGGTTCATTTATTAGTTCCTTTATTATGTTAGATTCATTTACGCTGGTTAAGTCGCCACGTGTTTAATTGAATACAGTTGATTGTATAAGTCCCTTTTTTAATTCGCTTACAGTTTACGAGATTGATTAAAGCCATGTCTCTGTAACGTATCCCCTGGTTTGGTTGGTATTTTCTTCGGTCGTGATTTTCTTGGCTCTTCATTCGGTCTTGATGTTCGTTTGCTGCATACCCCCTATAAAGCGCTACAATATTCTTATGATACCCACTCATTGGCAGTTAATGACGT